AAGATAATATTAATTATCTTTTTTCGACTATGTATAATAAATTCATAAGGAAAGACTAAACAGTGAAAACTTTAGTATTTTATGATTATCTGCATCCCCTCGAAAACTCATTCGCGAATTTGTGAATTGGGAAGAAATACCTGTTTCGTTAGCTTTACGACTCGTAAGTATACTGTTTTGCTCACGAATTATAGTAAAAAGAAGCATTTTGTGATGGGGGAGGTAAAAATAAAAACTATAGTCTCCATAGCCAGTATTTACATTTTTACAGCCGGTGGCGAAATGTCCGTTAAATGGTACAAATACTTTATATAGTATTAACTATACTAAATGCTATACAAACACTTAAAATTCTATAAACTCGCATACCATAAAGAGAAATCACCTTAAACTATAAAGGCATAAATCGCATGTATTCAAGCACCTATGCGATACGCGCAAGCCTGGGCTATTTATTGTCGAGTGTATACTCGAAAATAGGCTAAAAATGGGCAGTTTTACCGAAACTTGAACCGAGGATGCGGATAATCAGAAAGCACTGAGATGTTTAAGTGTGAAGTTCTCAATCGGCTTTTGCGTTCGTATTCGTCGTATGTGACCGCAAGTCGCTAAATCGTGATCTTGGTTTCTTTTTTACTCGACAATGTACGTACGACAATGTACTCGACCTTACGTTCCGATGCATATGAAGTCCTTTTCAATTAACTGCAAAGTTTTACTGAGTTGCATTATCCTCTGTGTTCTTAAAAGCTTGCCCCACTAAACTTCTTACCAGAACTCAAATTTCGATCAAAAGTCACAAATTTTGGGATATTTCGTACATCCAAGACGCCGTGATGAAAGAACTAAAAGCAATTTGGATGGAGGGCTTCTGCAGATGATTCCAACAGTTAAATAAATGTTGTCTGAAGTGCTTTATATCAGAAGAGGGAATAACTTTGAAGAGCAACGAAATATGTTTGCTCAAATACTTTATACTGTCATATATCTGCGTCATTCATCGGACGTTTGGTCACACCTTTTGATATTTCACCAGAATATTTTTGTTATACCTTACTCCAGCGGTCGCCAACCGGTGGTCCGTAAGAACTTTTTGATGGTCCGCAGAAAAATTGGGACATTATTTATATTTCTATGAAAATTCAGTTTAAAAAATGACGAGAAACAAAACCTATTATGGAATATGAATTATATATATATTTTTTTAAATTTTAGCTACTACGTATAGCGAAATTCCATCCGAATTTAGCGACTTTTTAGCTACTTTTGCAGGTGTATCTAGTGACATTTCAAAGTGAGAGTTGGCATCTATGGATATGCTGCTGTTATCAATAACAGCGAGACTGGAATTCTCTTTCCTTTTGAATTACAAACATATGCTATTGTAGTTGTTAATAACACAGTTTTTCTTCGTGTCAATAGGCAACTTGATGGATTTTTATGAGAACCGTCTGCATTCTTGTTTATAATTGCATCACTGGAAATTTCCGTTTTTGTTTTGTCTAACTGTTGATAGATGGCGCTATTGCTGAGTAAGCGATGATTATTATGCTTACAATAATCTAAAAATTGGCGGCATAACACTTTCAGTTTATTGATATTGCTTTGCGTTTGCCGGGTTTGTTCTTGCTTTTCGTGAAGTTTCCTTTACGAGTGGTATGGAAATGTGAAGCTACAGAAGTACAAGAAGGTAAGATTTTTGTACTTTTCATAAAATTTTTCAATGTGAACGAAATATGTGTGAGTTAATTGCTACTCATAATCAGGGGCGTAGCCTGAATTTCCATAAAGGCATGCTGCTAAACACCAAATGTTTTGAAAATTACATTAACAAATGAAAATTAGAATTACATGTATTGGAAAGATGACTATTGTTTTTGCATATAAATATGTTGTTTTTAAGGTATGGTTTAAGGGTTTTTTATTTATATTGTTGGTCCAAATATAAAATTATATATGTAGTGGTCCGTGAAGTTCTAAGGGTTGACGACCGCTGCCTTACTCAACCTGTTCGTGAATATATATATTTTCTTCTTCGTACCAATGTAGCGGTAATGTCGCTGAACACTGGTAGTTCGGTCCGAGGTTCGAATTCCGCGAACGGGCTGGCTGCATGGGCGTTTTCGTGGTTTTCCCCATGCGTAACATGTATACGAGCCGGTTTCCCTCAGAAAGTCCTCCACGAAGGCATCCCTTTCCTTAGGCAAATAGCCCTAGTGTGCTTTGCAATAATTAAATAGACCAAACCAAACCTAAACCGTACCAATGACATCTGATCTATCTTTTCCAGAATTTAAGCAGGAAAAATCAATCTATGGAATAATAATACGAGTAATGCAGTAGATGTAATGATCACGATTGGCAGATTGGGTAGCGCAACTATATAGTCTTTTGAGGATTTATTTTATATGCTTATACCATATGTATTTGAATCAGATCATTTGTTGTGGGAATAGAATGCGTGATAAATAGTTTGTTCCACTTCACAAGAGCAATGATTAAATGCTAAGAATTCAGTAAAAGATAGTTAAACCTTTTACATCAAACGAAGAATTTACCACCAACTGTTTACTATGACTTAAATTACTCTGGTGTGGTGGTGTATTTAATTATGGCAAAGCACACTAGGGCTATCTGCCTAAGGGGAGGGATGCCTTTCGTGGAGGACTTTCTAAGGGAAACTGGCTCGTATACACGTTACACATGGGGAAAACCACGAAAACGCCCATGCAGCCAGCCCGTTCGCGGGATTCGAACCTCGGACCGAACTACCAGTGTTCAGCGTCTTTACCGCTCGGCCGCTGGTGGGCTAAATTACTCTGAGATTAATTTATTATATCATCTTCTGTAATAATTCGGTTGAGTCAGGGCTTAAATTCAGTTCTAGCTTACTAGAGTAAGGCTCTGTATTTCTGAGTTTTTGAGTAAAATCTTTATTCCACCTGGAAGGTCAGTTTATATTAATTCCGGTGTTTTATTGCTCGACTGAATCGCAGTATTCATAGAAAATTATTTTATTAAGACAATTTTTTAGCAATTTATTCAATTGGTATTAATACTAACTACTGAATGCACATCTCACTGATCCTTCAAAGAATAAAATATCGAGAAAATCTGAGAAAGATACCTTAAGTTGAAATGCAATGAATATACGAGAAAGGCTATTATTTATTATTACTAAACTTAAAATTATTTCACTAACTAAAATATTAGTTTTTCGTTGCATTACATTTAATTACTCATTACCTTTCTAATCCAAAGGGGCTTTGCCCTGAGGGACTATTATTTCGTTTTGCGATTTTGTGTCGAATCACTCTGAATGCTCGTTTTACTTTTCACACTGTTACCATCAAATATTATCGCCCCGAATTATATTTGAAGAAATTACATAATGAAGAATCTGCATAAATGTAGATATTTTTCTCGCATTGTGATAAAATAACGATACCTAGAGCCATCCAATTTTGAAGGACGTAATCCTACTACAAATATGGGCATCTGGAAGCCCAAATTTGAAATATGGAATTTGTTTTATTATCGATTTCGTATTTTCTGAAACTTGAACAAATTTTTGATTAACAAACTCGAGGATTTCAAAACGAGTAATGGCAACGTTGTACAGAAAAAAACATTTTTATCTCCAGCGCATGTTACTGTGTATCGGAAATTCGAAAGATATACTCAATTTAAAATTATTTTGCAGTATTGCTCTTGAACTGAATTTTATGGTTTAACTGCGAAGGACACACAAATATTATTTATAATAAAATAGAAAATACAAATAATAATTACAAATATTTTTTATAATACCTTTATTTAAATAAATAAAGGTAACACACAAAATTTAAAAAAAAAAGGGCCCCTTTCTTTTTTTTCTTTATTATTATTATTATTTGCTTGCTTGTCTTTTTATTTGTTTTTTAATTTTTAAATTAACCTTAAACCCCTTATGATCCTCGAATATGTGACTGCTGCAAGAATTGCGATATTTTATTTATTTGAAAAGCAATTACTTCCAAATTTTTACAGCTGACTACATAATATAGCTGCTTTGAGAACTAGTAATCAGAAAGTTTGTGTTAATCCGCTTTGGGACAAAACGTTTCGTCATGTTTCCACCTTGTGCACATGATATTTTTAGAAACGGCTGATGGTATATACTTAAAATTTGATGGAATTCTTTACATGGGCACTATTTTATAACTAAACCAAAAATCTGATGAATATTTTAATATTAAAAAATTTTATGCACGAAAAGATTACATATTTTTTAATAAAATACGTTTTATAAACTCAACTCCAAATGAAATAAAAATTTAACATGAAATTCTTAGGATTTTTGGTTCACAGTAGTTTCTAAATGTTATAAAAGCTATTTATTAAATATGGAAATAAATTATGCAATAGAATGTTTTAAACTGTGCGCGCAAGGTGGAAACATGACGAAAAATGCTGTCACAAAGCGGATTAAATTTTAAAAATATTATAATAATTTTAAAATATAAAAAATAATTATAATAATATAAAAAACAAACTTTCTGATTACTATCTCAGAAAGCAGCTATATTACGTAGTCAGCTGTAAAAAGTTAGAAGTAATTGCTTTTAAAGTAAATAAGTTATCTCAATTCTTGCGACAGTCACATATTCGAAGATCTTATAGGTTTTAAGGTGTATGACTCCTTTTAAAAAAAAGTAAATCTCTGTCAGCATTTCATTGGGCTTCTGCCTTTTTTAATTTATAAATTAAGCGCTGGGTGGAACTATATTTAAGATATTACAGAAACTGGTATTATTGCATTAATTAAAGAACTTAAAAAATGAAACCCTAAAAAATAAAATTTTTTGCTGTCTAAAGTATACTGTTTTAAATACGCTTCTAAATTATTTTGATATATCCTGTAGTTTCTTTCATTAAAACAAATGCAAAATTTCTACTAAGTCTTTCGTTCTTCACTACTTTTTTCAAAATTTCTGTGATCGAAATAATGTACAACTTACAAGGCAATGACTTGCAGCTTCTTTAATCCATTTGATGTTGTCTCTGTACTGATCTTCCACTAAAGGTGGTACTAAAAAATAAAATAAATAAATAAATAAGTAAAATAAAAAAAGTTCTTAGGATGGTTTAAAAACATGTGTTTAGAAAAATACTAACAAGGAAGGTCTTTCAAACCAGATTGTGTAATATTTTTTTAAAATATACAGATAGTTCTCTTCGTGTGTAAATGTATATTAATAAAAATTGAAGGTTGAATCACTCACTATAAATGAGCAATTAAGATTTATAATCAAAAATAATATTTAGCGGTATAGAACTTGTAAGGTATTTCTCCCTTCTTCCATATAAGGTATTTTCCCCCTCCTTCCATGCCTTCGTGATGTAACGGTAGCACACTCGGCGCATAATCGAGAGGTCCAGGTTCGAGTTCCGGCAAGGGCATTACAGATTTTTCACGTATCTTGCTTCAAAATAACCTATTGATTTTAAGACTTCAAAATTTCAAAGATGTTGCTTTGCGAATCGTCAGATGATGATACAGTTCAAAGTAAGCTAAACTAAAAAAAAAAAAAAAAAAAAAAAAAAAAAAAAAAATAGAGCTTTCCTGTGTGCGTGTGTGTCAATTAAGTTTCTTTTTAATTTATCGAGTTTTTCTGGATTTTTCGCCTTTACCTACGCTTAAGGAATGTGCTAATACTCCAAGAATTTCACACAGAAGAAACGGAGAAAAACACTTAAGTAAAGCTGCTTTCTTACATCTTATTTAATCGGCCAAATTTTTGGCGACTTCGTCAATTCCTTGATTATTTTACCATTGCATATCCATTTTGTTAAAATTTCAACATTCAGAATATAAAACAAACTAATCGTTTTCTTTTAAAATAATAACAATAATAATAAAGGTTATTTAGATAGATTATATATATATATGTTACGGGCAAAGTATGAAACGTCGGCATTCTACAGAATGCCTAGGCATTGTGTATCATACCGAAAGTCTTTAGACAAAGTATGAAATATGAGAATTATTACATACTTTCCCTAGGCAATGTATTTAATAATTTAATTTCTGTAGAATGACAAATACTATTTAGGCAAGTATGAAAAAAGGTCCTGATAAGGCTATTACATAAATGACGTGTATTCCTGAAAAATACAAATGTTATTCTGAAAAAATAGTGAGGGTGCCATTAAAAAATTCATCCGAAATATGTAAAGAAAAATGAAAGTTGCACAAAACAAAATTTATGCCTTTCTTATTAAGGAAAACAAAATTTTCATATGAAAAATAAGAAATTAAAATTAACCTTATAAGGTTTCAACCTAGAATTTACAGCTAAGTGTGTGAAACCTTGAGAACTGGTAAGCGAATAATCGCTTTAGCTCAGAGAACAGAAACTCAAGAAGGGTTAATTACCCTTTATTGCTCAAAATGAAGTTTACAGATGGCCCTTTCTCAGGACGTACAGAACAGCCTCCACTTGGACTTGAACTCAATAATATTAAGAACTAAAACTTAACTAATGCTGAAGAGGCAGTCTGTGGTGTTACAGATGGTAGGTAGTTAAACTAAAATTACAATAAGATGTACACATAAAAAACACATAAATACACATTGACACACATAAGCAAAATAATACAAAAAACACAAAGTGCAAAATGCATAAGCAAAGAACACATAAAACAGGCACATACACATAATCACTTAAGGCACAAAAAGATAAATGGGGTACATGAAGTCACATGAAGGCTGGAGCACAAAGTTAGTGTTGGGCAGTTCTGTTATATGTAAATACAGGTACATTTTGCATGATGAATGATGAGTACGTGAATACTCATGTGTGCAGGAGCGTGTAGTTACATTGCGTAAGGCGTTGATAATTGTAGCGTCACTAATAACATAGATAAAAAACACATTGAAATAGCACTAGAATGTTGTAGCACTAATTATTGGGTAGTGCCCCAGCAATTAATGCACCGTGAGGCACACAAACGTTCACTAACACTGCAGAAGAAGATGCTTGTTCAAATACTGTTGAAGGAATTACATATATATCATTAAGGAGGCATTGCAAATTTCACTAAAGATATGTCAAAGTACTTTCAGATTATTTATTATTGCCACTTTAAATTTGTGGGCATCGAAGCTTAAACACACAATTGTTGTGAAGATCAGATATTGTAAAATCCATTGGACTAGTCTGAGAGCTTATCATCAGTACACTAGTACGTGGAGGCCGAAGTCTACTGACCGTGCCATTTTATCACGGTTGGGAAAGGTCTGCGCCCAATGCCGCGATGGTAACTAAAATGCTTAACTAAAGAGATATTGCCGAAGCTATCAAAATTCTACAGAAGTTGGCCCCTTAAACGTTAACTAAACGGCGAAGCTATGCCTGAAATACGGCCGAGCGTAAGTAATAGCTTAGAAAGTGTGTAGCCAAAAGGCGAACGCGCGCTAGTCAGAATCTCTGGCTCTCTAACGAAGTCAGTGGAACTTCGACTTTAACACTGCTCTTCCTTCATTTGCATTTAAACCGCGATTCTGAAAACACATTCTGATAGGAAATTGTAAGCTGAAATTAAGAGCGACTGGAAAGTGGCTTTAACTAAAAATAACTGTTGAAAACTTAGGGTAAACCTTACAACCTACTTGTTGCAACATGATAGGCGTGAATGAAATTTTGACTTCCACTGGACTGAGTAATTGCAACGGACCGGAGAAGAATTTCGTGGTCAGGAATATCTTCAATTCTAAGCAAGTTCTTAGGGCATATGGTTAATTGTGATCGCTCATATTGGTTTAAAATTCCTTCAGAAGTTAGAGAAACCATCCTCTGACACACTCATTACAATTGCCAATATTTCACCTCACCCTTTTTTAATGTCAGTAATAGGAACTCTGAAAGAAGCAGTGGGAATTTTTTTTCTGGATTCATTTTCATTTTTTTGGCTAGCATTTCCAGATTGATTTTAGAATTTATTTGACTTTCAATAGCATTTTCAGTTTTGAAACAAAGGTTGCACAAAATATCCATCATCTTTATTAGCATGGCTATAGAAGCTGTAATTTTTTTACTACACTTGTTGCATGTAAGTGAATCACTCGTTTCCTTTAAACCAGGGATGTCAAAATCATAGGTACACTTGGGCCAAACAAACAAGGTTTAACTTTAGGCGGGCCGGAAAAAAAAAAAAAAAAAAAAAAAGTATTCATAGAAACGTAGATTTATTTTCGAATAATACAATAATAAACATATATATATATTTATATAGAAAAGAACGAGAAAATTTAATGTTTACGTCCTGATACTTGACATCTCTTCTCTGCTATTATCTTTCCTATTTCGGGAGAAATTTTGTTTGCAGTGATAACTTTCAACGCTGACCCAAGGTGAGCATCATTAATACGGTTTTTCTAATAGGAGACTTATTACCTTTCATGACTGAAATAACTGCTCGCACCGATAAGTGCTACCAAACATGGAAATAATTTCATATGCGAATTTTCGAGTATTTTCAAACCTGGCTGGTAAATATTTGTAAAATTCAGGCAACGCCACTTCAATGAATTTTGCTTTCAAATTTGAGTTGCATTGAATCTCGATCACCTCCATTTGCATATGGCTGGGTACTGAGTCAATACTTATTGAGAAAATCGAAGAAAAGAAAAAAAAAAAAAATTGTCTTCGAGGGGAACTAAAATCATTAAACCTTTCTTCAAATTCAGTTGTTAAATTTGCAATTTTTTCTGCGTATTTTTGATACGAACAAGTATCATCTAAACTTGATTTATTCATGCTGCACGTCGGGAAGTGCTTCAAATCTTCGTTTTTAAGTTGTTTTTCCCAAAGAACTAGTTGACATTTGAATGCTTTAATTATGTCAAACATGTTCGTAATGATATGATCTTTTCCTTGTAACGATAAATTTAAATCGGTTAAGCGTTTGGTTATATCAACCCAGAAAGATAAATTTTCTGATGCCATCATTTTCTCTATGCTTGGAAACTCCTTGGCGTAATGATGTTTAGGCGGGATTCTTATTGTTTTGTTTTCAAAATCCTCCAAAGATGTTGCTAACATTAGAAGCAATTTTAAGTGCTTCGATAGCTGAGTTCATGAATTAAGTGCAAAAATAAAATGATAAATAGCTGAGTTCATGAATTTAGTGCAAAAACGGAAACACATTGGATTATACGACGATCTCGACTCAATTGTAAAGGGATCGTGTGTCGTAAGTATTTATAAGTACGTGTAAGTAAATAAGCATGTAATTTTATTGCATTTTATTCCTTTCACATTTCAGAAAATATTTCCTTTGCAACTGTATAAGTTATTTCCATGTCTTTCATATTCTGTTACTTTAAATGAACGAAAAAAAGTGCATTCAGAGTTATCGCTGAATTTAATGTACGTGTACAAGAAACGAAACTTCCTTCACTGATAAACACTATTTTCAATCAAAGCTACAGTTAGTCAATTAAGTCTGCGTACATCAAGAAAGGTAACATCAAATCCAAATTTTAAGGTGCAAAAAGGGTAGTTTCTTAAAGTTTTATTTTTTAAATATTTAGTTTCAATAAGGGACTTTGAACTTATTTAAATGTAATATTTTCATAGATATGAAAATATTACATTTAAATAATTTATGCACACTAATTTTTAAAAGATAAGTGGCCAGAAATCAAAGCCAATAAAGTTTGCGTACAACTTGAAGGAGGTGGGGGATTTTTCATCTAACTTTTAAATTTCAAACTTGAGAATGCAAAGAAGGTTACACTTTTAAGGTCATTGACTTCTGAAGCGAATTTCACGTTGATTGGAAGTTGTTATTTCTATTTTCTTTGATGAAAATGACAACCAATGAAGAAATTCCTTTAGTTACGAGACAACTAATTATGAAATTGGGAGATGAAGGTAAAACTCTTCGTTATATTGGTAAAACCATTGGAAAACCATTTTCTAGTGTGCAAAGAGTTATTCAAAACTATTTTGACACTGGTAGTCTTGCTGTAAAACCAAGATGTGGGAGACCGAAGAAGCTAACGCTGAGAGAAGAAAGAAAAACTCTTTTACGAATTAAACAAAATCCTAAATTTTCTGCTGCAAGCATTGCAAAAGAATTTTTTTTAACTAGCAACAAGGAAATTTCTTCTGAAACTGTACGAAAAGTGCTGCGAAAGGCAGATTATCATGGACACAAACCTAGGTCTAAGCCATACATTTCCGAGATAAATAGAAAGAAAAGAATTGCTTTTGCCAAAACACATTTAAACTCTTCGCGGGACTTCTGGAACAATATAATTTGGTTACATGAAAGTAAATTTACAATATTTAAAGTTAATGGCCACCCTATTGTATGGAGAAAACCAAGAACAGAACTGAATCTGAGAAATTTAAATCCAACTGTCAAACATGGAGCTGGCGGTGTGATAGTATGGAGGTGTATGTCGAAAGGAGTTAGAAATTTTCACATTATTGATAAAGTCATGGATAAGTATGTTTATCTGGATATTCTGAAGAAAAATCTACGAGACAGTGCCCGAAATTTAAACCTTTCTAATACCTTTATTTTCCAAGAAGACAACGACCCGAAACATACAGCTAATATTGTGAAGGAATATCTCCTCTATCACACTCCAATACAGTTGCGTACTCCTCCACAGTCACCAGACCTCAATCCAATCGAACATTTATGGGCAAAATTGGAGAAACGAATTCGAAACACACAATATTACGTCGTGAAATGAGCTAATTAGTAAATTGCAGGACGAATGGGCGAAATTTACGTCGGATGACACTGAAAAACTAGTTCAGTCAATGCCCAGACGTCTGCAAGCTGTTTTGAAGAATAAAGGATATCCTACAAAGTATTGAAGTAATGTAAAAAACTTATATATATATATATATATATATATTTTTTTTTTTTTTTTTTGAAAGTGTACGCAGACTTATTCGAAGGAATTTCTGAGTTCTTTTGACAAAATATATTTTTGAAAAAATGTAAAAAGTATTACACTGATATTATTTACTTTTTATTTAAGCTTACAATTTTAGCTAATAGAAGAAAAAAATGCAATGATTAAAATACATTTTTCTAGGCTTTAAGTGTTTTTTTTAATTTCAAATTTAGTCTGTACGCAGACTTTTGTGACTAACTGTACATAACATATTACACGTTAAAAAATGATAAATGTTTATAAATTAATATTATTTAATTCAAATATACGTATCTCTGCTTCGCTGTTCCAAATCTACAGTAGTCTAACTTTAAAAATAAATTTTACCTTCTCAGACTGGCTACAAATATTGTGAATTTACTGCGTCTTATATTAGCTCCCAAAGTTTTTGCTATTTGCGAAAGCTGATTTATCTCATTTTTTCGGAGATTGCATGTGCATAAAATGGGTATGTAATGAATATGAAATAATGAATTAATAATTTACAACGTCTGTGTATGTGATAATGTCAAAGCCTCGAGGGCCTAAGGGGAGGGATGTCTTCGTGGAGGACTTTCTAAGTGAAATTAGCTCGTATACACGTTACACATGAGGAAAATCACGAAAACGCCCATGCAGCCAGCCCGTTCTCTGGATTCGAACCTCGGACCGAATTACCAGTGTTCAGCGACTTTACCGCTCGGCCGCTCCTAGGCCCCTAATTTACAATGACTTATATTAACCTTTTAAATACTAATTTACAATGATACTAATTTACAATGATATTTTTAATACTAATTTACAATGACTAAATATTAACCTTTTAAATTAAGAATACATTTATTAAAAATCTCTGCACTTAATATTAGCATACATTTATGAAGTTAGCACATTTGAAGAAATAATAATTTTTCTTTGTAGGGAAAGAAACACTTCATCTTTTACATTATAAAGACGCTACTATAGTACCGTAAGAAATGTAATATCTTGGTAACAAAAATACAATGCAGTTAATAATAATAGTCTTGTGTAAAAAAGTATTTAAAATTCTGAAAGTATTTAAATATTAATAGTTTCATCGAGCAGTAATATTAAAAATAATATTTTAAATTTACGCCTATTATAAAATCTGATTCGGACACCACATGACTTCCTTGTACAGCAGAATAGAACACAGCAAAAGCGTCGCCAACATATCCAAAACGCAGGATAATTGGGGAAAAATGATCGTACATAGTGAACTACTAGAATTTGTTCCGGAAAAGATTCGCGTACGTAAAAACTATCTGCATTTTCCCTTTTTAAAAGTTAAAAGAAATATTCAAAACTGTTTAGTTATTGCGTGGGCTATTTTTTTAAATTTTGACGTGTTAACAAAAGTATTTCATGAATGAACAATAACTATTATAAACTTATACGTACGTAAAATCTATCTGCATTTCTCTTTTCTTGGCGTGTTGGCGAAACGTTTTTATTGCTCGATATTGATCGGTTGTTCGGGGGTCGAAAATTCTTTGATTTAATCGAAACTTACTCTAGTTAAAGTATGAAACTCTGTGATTAGTTCGTCACATAATTTAAGTCATGAAATTATTTCAAGTAAGTGACTTATGTGATAAGTCGTCCAATTTGAATGCGGGAAGAAAACAACTGCATTATATAAAGAAATTTTTGAACTTCCGATTCTTTTAATTTTTTATGGCCCCGCTTATAAGTCGACCCCCCCCCCCAAACCCCCCCCCAAATTTGAAGTCTTTTTTTTTTGGTCCAAAATATCTCGACTTATACGCGGGTATATACGGTAAATTTCCAAAATAGATTCATTAAAATTGAAAAATATAGAAAAAGATAAAACATCAAATACAGTTAAACAATTAAAAAAAATTACAATTAAAATTACAGTTTACATAAAAACAAGCAATTCGAGCAGCAGGCAAGAAGGCAGATTTTTCGCTGCACAAAAAATGAAAGTTTCCTTTTGGTCTCACTCGGCAAACAAAACAAAGAACAAAAACAAACAAATAAAACTGAAAGTGCAGAAACTGAATGCACTATTCATAAAATGGTAATTTTTACTGTAATATTATTTAACTGTAGGTTTTATCATGACAGTTGCTATCATCTATATGTTAAATGTCAGACGGTTTCCCTTAATGATGCCAATGACTCTTCCAAGAAGACCAATCTTGTCAGCAATAGTCATTTCTGACTACTTGCTTTTTGTTTGTTGTGTTAAAATTCTATATTTTAGAGGGACAGGATATTTTCCCTTAATTCTTTATTATTTTTACCTCCTTCTTCCACAATATCTTCCAGAACAGATGCCGCTATATTGTCTGTAGTTTGCAGGTCTCGTTTGTTTCCAGAGGTACATACCCACCTGAGAGAAGATATTTGTAAATGAATACAGCATATTGTATCCTACTATGGTTATGTTTACATTATGTTATGTAACAGAAACAGTAAATGAAGCATCTTGTTTCATTCAAACACATTTATCTTAAGAAAATAAATTTAGCAATTTGCTTTTTTTTCTAAATTTTAAGAGATTTAGATAGCAAACCACGAAACTGTTGTTAAAAGAAAGTATAAATTAACCAGAAAAACATTATTTGGAAAATTTGCACCTTACAAAAATTTGAGAAAATAAAATTATAATATTAAATACTTTTACGCTTCAATGAATTTAAACATCGCTTTTATAAGCCAACTTGGAGAATAATTAAAACATCGCTTTTATAAGCCAACTTGGAGAATAATTAAAACATAAGTTTTTTTATAAAACAGTTACTTACCTGAAAGGACCAAATCCTAGTGAAAAGATATCCCTATTCAAATAAAAAAATAATCATTTTTCTTGTTACTTAATTAAACTACAGCAAATATTCCTTTAAATTATTAAACGCAAGTTTGTAGATGATATTACATTTTAAAATTTTCAGTTTAAAGGAATATAGAAAGGAAGATTAAGAAAACAGCTCATATTCAGAAATATTTATTTTGATTTTAATTAGCAATTGATGAATTTAAGTTTAAAAGATCCCATATTTTATTCTAATTAAATTCTGCGACTTCATAACATTCGTAAGATTTCGCATTAAATTCTGTTCCAAATAAATATGAAATACGGTTCCACAGAAAACTCAAAAAATATAAATCAATTAAATTGTGCGTCTTTATCGCATTCGTAAGAATTTACCATTAAATTGTGTTCCAAACAAATATGAAATACGGTTCCACAGGAAACACAAAAAATATAAATTAATTTTATCATCTGTTTCGATTGCATCAGATTCATTGATGCATTCTGTTTAAATAAAGAACGCAAACCGTACTTTTTATTTCAAAGATTTATTAGAGTTAAAATTGTTAGTGCAACGTATTAAAAAATTCTTTACATATCACACTTTCTTTTTTCTTGCACACTGTTATTCATTAACTCCACGAAATATTAAAAAAAAAAATACAGCAAACTACGAAAACAATAGCGAATTCCATTACGTTGAAATAGAGAGATGCCGAGTTTTTTTTTTTTTAATATTTAACAAATGCTTAATATGACCTTATCTGCTGACACAGCATATATTTTTGCGATAATTCGTTTCATCCACTGGCAGTATATCTTGATCAACCAGAACTATGGCAACGGTGATACAGTTTGTAACAATACTGAGAATGAGTGGGAAATGCAAGGAAGAGATAAAAAAAAGTAACTTTGACAAACACATTTAAGGAAACTTCACCATAGGATTAATACTGAAGACTTAATCCCATGTGACTAGGGTGAGCACCCCGTCAACGTGCCATTTCCTGATCTTGAACCTTTAGGCAAATGTTGATTGAGATATGATTGTAAATAGTTTCAACAATAATTTGCATGTTAGTGAATCGGACAACTGTCTTATTGAAGGATGCTATCATCATTATTTTCTTCTAATTGTAGAATTAGCTATCTTACAGATTTCTAGAATTTCAGGAACAATGGAGATACTGGGCGTATGTAAAATATGAAAATAAAATTTTTTAGAGTGATTTAGAAAGTGCTCTCACCGGGATTTGAGCTCTGGACCTCGCGTTGCTAGCCGAACGCTCTTCAAATTACACCACGAAGACACACGGTAAAGAGGAAGAAAATTCTTATAAATTAATGATTTTAGATCTATTAACTGTAATAAAATATATGAATTTTTAAAACGTTTCACGAAATTATGATAAATCCTGTATAAACTCTTATCTTACATTTTTCGTGCTTTATATAAGATGTTCGAAAACGATGGCTGCCTAATTTTTTAAACATTTGTCCTAAACATATAATTTTAATTACAAAATTTCTTAAAATAAGCTGCACAATTTTATGAAAGCTTTCTGCTGAGAGAAAAGTGTTCTAAGCTGAGGGAATCTTTAAATATGATAATACACATAGTAAATGTATTAATGTAATGTAAAAATTATAGCATAAACACATTACAGGAGAAAAGAAAGTAACTTCGTGCATCAGGCTGGACAATGAAAGTGCGATACCTGAACCTAATAGAATGTATTATATAACGCTTTATTAACATAGTGCAAGACTTCTGGAAGCAGTACTTCAGAGATTCTTCTTAGCAACGACTGAAACAAGTCTTGTTCAATCCTTAAAGGCATTTTTAGCCATTCCTCTTGTTAAGTCCTACCAAGCAATGGCTATTTCATTTCATGAGAGTAGAGAAGTAAAACTTTTCAATTCTGTCTTCTAGCCCACTGTTAAACGACTTCAGTTTTATTAAAATCAGGGGCTGGTGCAGGATGTACATGATGTTCAGAATTACTTTTATGCTTTTAAATCCACTGTGTCACCAGTTTTGGGTGTGAATTAGTGTATTATCTTCCGAATTCACGGTATCTTCTTTGAGATACAATATCTGAACAAACTGAAAACTTGCAATATTTGAACAAGCAGATGATACCGATAAACCTTGACAATGTTGCGACTGTAGAATTATCAGTATTCTGAGAGATTTCCGCAATACAACGGGTTAAAATATCACCAATAAACTCCCATACTTTACTTCGGCCATAATACAGTCCGGATCAAAAGCTTCTGAAGCAGCTGTTATACATAAACTCTTACACAAGTAGGAAAGATGGTAAAAATATAAATACAAAATGTAGGTAAGATATATTTTGCATTACCTACCACTCACCTTTTGCGATCTTTACGTATTTGAAACCAGCGTTTATCATAGGTATGGTAACCAATAATTTTATTACAGCTATCCGATCGTAATATAAACTCCATGAAGCCTGTTACTGATAATTGGCTAAAATAAGGACTTGGCTAAACTTCTTAAACGTCTTATGAACACTCTGATATAGTTTTCAAATAACTTCTTATAACATAAGATATAATTCGACAGGACGAAAATCTTAACATTTCTAGGGTATGAGCCTGGATACTTTAGTAAAATTACTGTTTTCCCTGTAATTTTTCACATGTAGTGAAAATATTTCGCATTAAGTATCATACGTCTTATATAGTGGGATGGAATATAAATTTAGGGGAATTCTGAACGAGGTTTTAAAATGAAAATCCTTGAAACGTTGGCACAGACTGTTAGATATTTTGCTTGAATTTTCTGAGCATAAAACATGAAATTTCAACTGTGCCGCTGGTCGAGATTCGAAACACTAATCTTTCACTGCCAGGGCTTGTATAGGGGGCCAGCTAGACCTGCTGCTGCGAGAATCTCAAATTTGGTTATAGATATATATAAAAGCTTAATAAGAGGCAAAAATTAAAAACAAATTTTTATACCCCTCCTGCGCTATATGTATATATAATATTTTCTACATTTATATCAAATCTTTACAATACCGATCACCAACTATGATAAAACTTTATGAGAGAAATGAAAAGCAAATGACATCGGTAAATATCAATAAAAATATGTTGAATTTTCCACTAATTACTTCTTGTCTCCTTTTTAAAACAGAAATTTTCCGACATCTTAACTGATGGCAAGTCCCTGTTTCACAAACTCCCTACTAACAGCTACTATCTATTCTTAGGGTTTAGAATATTTTAACGCTTAACTGTTTTTTTCTCTAGAACGGGATTTTTCAAAGTATGTTGAAAACGGAACCCTTCCGTTTGGTAACCAACTAATCGACGTCTACACACAGTTACATTTAGAAACAGAAATCTAGTAATTAGAAGTCAAATTCTGTCTTTAAGTATCATTTCCTTTTCAGTTGTTTCTTCTCAACTACAGTCGTATCTCATTGCGTAATTTTTAAAACACCCCCACTAGGAACAATGGATTTGTGTTCTCAGGTAGATATATGCTTTCTAATGTACCCGTATTCTCAAATTGGATTGACATCAGACGTAGAAGTAAGGTACTATATTCATGGATAGAATAGAATATTCTATGAATATTCCATACGTATCTACTCCATAGATAAAGAGTATTAATGAGTATTTAAGATACGATAAGTAAGATAAGAATATTAATTTAAGAGAGTAAGTAGACTTTACAAGTATTTTAATGCGTGTGGTGTATACACGAAAAAATGTTTTTGTATCTAGAATATTTTTGTAATGCATGAACTAGACTGCGGACGGGACTAACCTGATATCACTGTTAATGTGAACAAATAAGTATGTGAAAATTTACTTTATTTAATTAGCACCTTTACTGTTCCTTCTTAACTCCCCTCCGAGCTGGTCACTCTCTCTGCCCATATGGGGGTAGTAGACACAATGAGGAGATTAGCTGCCTTCATAGTACTAGAGAAACCAAAATTTACAAGGACTTCTCTTTAACCCTGAGAGAACCACAGTTGTCCGTTGAGGCGCTGCAGGGACTCATAATGGTACTGTCAATTTTGACTCGGGCTGTGTGATCGTTAGATGTTTGTTTTGGATGGGAAGTTAATGGAGTTTACGGAGAACTGGGAGGTTTTAATTGCCGAGTATAGGCTGTTCAACGGTCTAGGCTGGGTGTCTGGCTTACTGTCGCTTCTTATTTAGACACGGAGCTCATTCCTTCCAGGAAGTTAAGTAGACTATTATGTGGCAAGCGGTAGGTGCATAGAAAGGTTTTAATCGAAACCACAGAAGCGTCTCAGCCGGGAATGGGACTATTCACCGGCGCCGTTTCGCCATCATGCCTTTGGGCATTTTCGCCTTTGGGCCAGTTCGCCTTTGGTCCAATTCGCCGTCAAGATGTATTTTTCTTTACATGTCTATATTATATCTTACTAGCCTATATTTTATCTATATTACTTAACTATTGTACAACTCTGTATTAAATTTTAAAAGAAAAAAGCTTTTATAATTATAAAGAGATCTTCTAGAATTACTATAATATAATAAAATAATAAATTAATTAATGATCTGTGATATTTAATTCAAATCAATAATTAAAAGCATTCATAATTAAGATGAAATATAATATAATTTAAAAGTATAACATGACATGATGAAATATATGATATAATAATGAAAATAAGCATGACATTAAATTAAACATAATATAATATTCAAAATAAATGGAAATTTTTTTGAGAATTCAAAATAAATTAATTATTTTAAGATAATATTTAAGGCTTATTATCTTTATGTAATTAAAAAAATTGCATTTTATTTTAAATTTTATATTAACTGTCAGTTTCTTGTAAGCATTTGGGAACAAATCGCAAGCATAAATTTGTTCTACAACCAAAATTATGATAAAACATCTTTCTAGACTTTTGCCATTTAAAGAATCAGACGGTTTGTTAACTTTACGTTTCGGCAAATTCTTCGTATTAAAATCTTTTGAATAACTTATAAAATGCTTTTCTA